GGAAGGGAGTAAAGGATGGAGGGAGGGAAGGAAGGAAAAGATGGGAGGAAGGAAGGAAGAATGGGAGGAAGGAAGGAAAAGAGTTGCAAGAACATTCTGCAATGAAACAGAGAAACCGTACTGTAGCTCTCCTACATCAGCTTTCTGATTCAAAAAACACTGGATTTCAAGGTGATATTTCATGGGTTTTAGTTGGAGAAGTTCAACATAAATCATCCAGCCCATTAATCTATGGTAGATCTCACACATGATTGGAACAAGTGTGTAATGAATGTCCTTCAGGTGGAAGATTTGTGAGAAGTTATAGAGCAATAATAACAAAAAAAAAATTGCCTCTCTCAACCCTAACTTTAGAAAACCCAATTCAGTTGCCCGACAACTTTAATCTTTCAGGCATAATGGAACTGAGAAGCTCAGGGAATCTTATAACTAGGACTATCAAGATAAACTTGTAAAGTACATCTCCTAAAAGCATGTAATCAACTACCAGGAAGATGCTTGCCAAAGTCCTTTGAGATAGAACACTGCATTATGCGTGGGGCTCCAGGGTTTTCTCATTAAGACCAGTCGGTCTTTAGTTAGGCGTGAAAGTTTGAAAAGTTTCTTTTTTCTTTCTTTCTAGAGATACTTTATTGGGTTTTTTTTCTTTTTACACAACTCAATCACTTAATAAACAGAACTATGACATTTTAAATACATTTACATATCACGTCCAATACAATCTATACAATCTATTTCTATACTTTCTAGATTTATTGTATGCACTTTCTTTTCTTATTTCTGTTGTCTATCCCATGGTACCATTTTTCCCATGTTGCATAATATTCGGTGTCTACTTTTCCCTTTAGTTCAATGGTCAATTTATCCATTTCCACACACTCATATTTTTTTAAAATTTTGAAGCCTTCGGATGGTATGCAGTCTTTCTTCCAACACTGCTGTGAATATGGGTAACACCAAATACTTTATCATTCTGTTGTATTTCCTTTTCATTATCCCTAAAAGAAATAATTCTGGGACAAAATCTGTTTGGCTTCCAATTAATTCCTGTAACCACGTTTGTGTTGTCTTCCGATATTTTTTTCACTTCGGGGCATAACCACCATGTTTGACAGAAGGTACCATTTTTTTTGTTTGCATTTCCAGCAGTTTGGGTTTGCATCAGTAAGTGTTGTACCTTATGATTCTTGAGGAATGTATCTTTTCTTTTATGTACACTGAGAGCATTTGCACCAAAGACAAATTTCTTGTGTGTCCAACCACACTTGGCCAATAAAGAATTCTATTCTATTCTATTCATTTGGGTAGATCTTGGCCAATCTTGTGGGTGCCGAATGCCAGCAATAAAACATTTTATGTTGGTTTTCTTTATAAGCCACCGATTTTGTTAGCCTGGCACATTTTTGGTAGGACATAGAAATCACAAAGGAAAATTCCAAATTTCCTTTTTTCCCTTTGAACACAAATGCCTGTGGACCAAATTATTTGGGGTCATCTCAGGATCGCGAGTTAGAAAGGGGATTTAAGTTCAAAAATAGGTAGAGGTTTTGTCAGTGCCTGGAACACACGGCCAATGAACCATCCTCATTGCCACATCTTGTTAATTTAAGAGAGAAGACCATTAGCTTACTGGATGTAATACATCCTTGTGGGAATGTTAGCTAAACAAAATAATGGTTAACTAAACCTTTTCATCATTGCCTCTTCCTGGTCTCTTCTACATCCCCCCCCCCCCCAATTATTGGATTCCTGAGCCAAAAACATCTGACTTTGCAACGATCAGTTACATAGGTCCTTGGAAATAACACAAACGCATGAATCAAAGAGTGTGAATTGGAAAGAAAAAGGAATAAGAAAGAAGAACGCATAACCTCTTTTCTTTCTCTTCTCAACCTTCCCTCCTTTCCCAACCACCCAATACCTTCCTTCCATTGTTCCTTGCAGCTTAAGAAGCTCTTGTTGGCGCCAGCGAACATCCAGCTAAATTACAATGAATGCAGCGGCCTCGGCACACGCAACCATGCAAACTCCAACCACAGGATCAGAGCAAACCCTGCGCTGGCCAAGGTACCGTGTTCACCTCCGAAGGCGTATATTTAGATGAATTTGCAAATGCTCACCCTTGCACTTTCATCACAGAGCATAGTCTGGTTGTCAACTCGTAAAGCATTCCTGGCCTGCTCTCAAGTTGCCATAGGCAGGGGTGCAGGAGAACTGATGGAGCAGCTCGGTTGCTACGACCAGAAGCACATTCCATGCATACCTTTCTCCAGATTGCATCCCAGGTTACCAGAGCCAGCTGGAAAGGTGTGTTTTCTACAGCCCTTCGTTGGAGAATGTGATTTATGACATACCCTGGGAGGGGGGGGGAAACAAGGTCATAGGTGGGCAGTAAATTACAGGGGGCGAAAAGTGCCAACATGTTGCTCCTAATAAAATAATTGGATTTCTTTTGAAACTTGGCTCAACTTCATGAATTAATTAGGGCATCCATCGGAACCCTGACACTGATATTGACAGATGTCAGATCTTTGCTTCAGGAGAAATAGATGTCCTACTTTTCTGCTACCCTTGGTGTCACCACAGTGCACAAAATTGGACAATAGATGAAAACATCATCCCTTTCATGAATCTAGAGCAGATCTGGGCATTTTATAAGTCCCCAGGCTACATCTGGCCCTCTGGCTGTCTCTGTCCAGCCTGCATGAGGTCAATCAGAAATTAGAAAGCAAATATTAATAAGGGTACACCATGCATGCAATACAGCTGCATTGCTTTTATTTTGAAGCGGGGTGTTATTTATTTTATTTTTCAATTTATGCCTGTGCATGCCTGCATGCCCACGTAACTTCACAGCCCAACTGGTTCATCCCTTCATAACAGTCCCAGTTTCTCCTGCAGCCTCTTGGGAAAATTAATTGCCCACCCCTGGCATAGAAGCTAGCTCACAGATCTCTAAGTCAGGGTGAAGCAGACAATTAGTTCCAACTTCTGTTGAAAGAGGTGTCTTGGCTGTTCAGACCCACCATTCTATCCTGATGTGTTTACAGATGTTGGAAATAATTTTCTTCTGCTTCTTTCCTGGTAGCTCAAGGGGTTAAAGATGCTGAACTTCTCAGATGGAAAGCTTGGGTTTGAGACCAGAGAGAGAGAGTGAGAAAGAGAGAGAGATGAGAGAGAGAGAGATGAGAGAGACAAGAGAGTGAGTGAGAGAGTTGAGAGAGAGAGAGAGAGAGAAGAGAGAGGAGAGAGTGTGTGTGAGAGAGAGTGTGAGAGAGAGATGAGAGAGTGAGAGAGACAAGAGAGACCAGAGAGAGAGTGTGTGAGCGAGAGAGACAAGAGAGAGAGATGTGAGAGAGAGATGAGAGTGTGTGAGAGAGAGAGAGACGGGAGAGAGAGAAAGAGAGAGAGAGAGCTTGAGAGAGAGTGAGAAAGAGACAAGAGAGATGAGAGAGAGAGAGACAAAAAAGAGAGATGAGAGAGAGAGATGAGAGAGAGAGAGAGACAAGAGAGAGACTAGAGAGTGTGTGAGCAAGAGACAAGAGAGAGTGAGAGAGAGAGAGATGAGAGAGTGTGAGAGAGAGAGACGAGAGAGAGAGAGAGAGAGCTTGAGAGAGAGTGAGAAAGAGACAAGAGAGGAGAGAGAGAGAGAGAGAGAGAGAGAGAGAGACAAAAAAGAGAGAAGAGAGAGAGAGATGTGGTTGCCCTTAAAATATTAGTGATAGGCCTTGTTTGATATACAGGCCTGGTTTGCTCCTCCGCCATCCATCCAGTTCAAGAGAAGATTATTTTGGCACCTTGGAATCTCCATGATGGCCATTGATTGCTTGAGGTTCTGGCAGTGGGTAATTCCATTAGCAGTCTGTATTAAACAATGTTTGTCTTGCCATTCACTGTAACTGAAAACAGAGCATTTAGGGGTACTTAAGAGAGTTGCAAACAGGTTGTAAGACTTGAGCAATCAGCATCAAATTAAGCTTTAAACTCTTCCTCTATCTTTTTTCCTTCCTGTTGGTAGCAGCGAAGGAACTGTAGGGCCCTAGGAAGTATATAGCGCTGCCTGGAAGCCTTGAAATGTAAGAGGATGGATATAAAAAGCAGCATCGAAGTCATTTAGGAATTTTAATGTAATGTTCCTTCTTTATTCTGGAAATAATTATTCACAGCTCATCGATCTAGTGGCTTAAACTCAATCCTTCACTGCTAATATCTTTCTGTCTCTCTGTCTGTCTTTCTCTCTGTGTTGCTCTCTCTCTCTCTCTCTCTCTCTGTCTCTCTCTGTCTGTCTTTCTGTCTCTCTCTCTCTCTCTCTGTCTCTCTCTCTGTGTCTCTCTCTTTCTCTCTCTCTCTTTGTCACTCTCTCTCTCTCTCTCTTTTTCTGCCTCTCTCCGTCTTTCTCTCTCTCACTCTGTCTCTCTCTCTGTGTGTGTGTGTCTCTCTCTGTCTCTCTCTCTCTTTGTCTGTCTCTGTCTTTCTTTGTATCTCTCTCTCTCTCTCTCTTTGTCTCTCTCTCTCTCTCTCTCTCTCTCTCTATGTCTCTGTCTCTGTCTCTCTCTCTCTTTTAAAAACAATGCTCGGTATCCATTCTGCTAAGGTTCAGTTCCCTAATTTCACCCTTTTTCCTTTCTTTCGCTGCGACTCATTCCCTAAGACTGAGAATTCATGGAGCAATAAAGCGAAGAGCACCTGCCAGCCACAAAAGCCACAAAGACGTCCCTGCTCAGAACTTCTCAAATATCTGACTACCAGTGATGACCTCAGCCAGGCCAAGCAGACAGAAAACAGGCACAGCAACAGGGACAAATACACTTCTAAAAAGAAGGCACTGTTGCATTCTCAGATGCATCATTTACAAGGTAGGTAGGTGACCAGCAGAAATCATTTTGGGGGGGCGAGGGGAGGGGTGTCTCATTTGACATTGTAGCACGTAGCTACTGTGGACGAGGCAGTGAAGCATAAATGTGAAGGGAGGTGAACGCAGAAGAAGAAAGAAGAAGACAATTATTTCCAACTTCTGTTGGAAGGGGCGCCTTGGCTGCTCAGACCCACCATTCTATTCTGATGTGTTTACAGATATTGGAAATAATTTTCTTCTGCTTCTTTCCCGAGCGTGATTGGTGGCTCAAGTGGTTAGATACGCTGAGCTGGTCAGACGGAAAGCTTAGGTTCAAGACCCCAGCGCATGACGGAGGGGAGCTCTCATACCTAGCCTCAGCTCTTTGCCCACCTAGCAGTTCAAAAGCACGCACACAGATCCCTAAGCCAAGGTGGTCGGCATACAGGCTTCACGATGAAACTAAGTGGGATACCTTTGTATCCCCAAAACTTTAATCTTAAACTGTCTACCGCGGACCTCACCCCATTCCTAAGAGGTCTGTAAGGGGGTATGCATAAGCGCACCAACATGCCTCTCCTTCAGTTCCCATTTATTCATACTCATTTATTATCTATATCAGAGGTGGTATTCAGCAGGTTCTGACCAGTTCTGGAGAACCAGTAGTGGAAATTTTGAGTAATTTGGGGAACCGGAAACTACCATCTCTGACTGGCCCCTCCCCCCATCTATTCTCTGCCTCCCATTGAGTCCCAGATGATCAGCTGGGTCTACTTTGGTTGCCCTGCACAGGAAAACAGAACTGGAAAGCAGGTTAGTGGGGAGGGGATGGGGATTTTGCAGTATCCTTCCCCTGCCACGTCCACAAAGCCACACCCACAAAGCCACGGCCACAGAACCACTGATGTATATACTTATACCAGTTTATACTTATGTGTTTATATGTTATGTTCATACTTGTTTTCTCATACATGCTTGACTAACTAAACTAAATAAAATAAATAAATAAGAGAGGGAAAGAAGGAGCGTTGGAGGCGTTGACTTCTTTTCCATCTGAAATGCTGGATGATGGCTTTAAAGACCCTGAGCTTGTCAGCTGGAAAACTGACAGTCTGTGTTTGAGACCCAAGCGCCATAGGACAGAGTGAGCTCCCATCCTTGCCTCAGCTGCTGCCTGCCTACCAGTTGGAAAGCATGCAAATGCAAGCAGATAAATAGGTACCACTTTGGTGGGAAGATAACAGCGTTCCGTGTGCCTTTGACGTATAACCATGCTGGCTACATATCTTCGGACAACGCTGGCTCTCTCGGCCAAGAAATAGAGATGACCGCTGTGCTCTGAAGTTGGACACCACTGGAGAGGGGAACCTGTACCTCTTTGTTTACCTTCTTATGGACATCTCCACCGTTACGTAGAGCGAGGCAACTGTCAGCAATAGCTCAAAGGTGGAATAACCCTGGTCCTCACCCTCAGAAGGAAGCTGGGATTGTCAATTTTTCTACTGTTTTGTACAAGTCGGGCAAGGGATGTCCTCAGAGCATCTTCTCCTCCCCGTGTGTGTATTTTTAACCAAACTAGAAGGCAAAAGGATTGTTAAACCAGCAATATATTCCTTCTGAGACACCAAAAACAGCTTTCTTGCAGCTTTTGAATAGGCAATAAATGTATCATCCCCTATTACATCTAAAAACTCCTCGCCATTTTATTGTCAAGTTTAAGAACTAAAAACCACAAAAGGGTTTCTTTATGGCCAGCTGAACATCTGTAATGAAGTTGAATATCCTCTGGTGTGACAACGTTTGTTACTCTTCCTCGTAAGGGGATGGCAAGAGTAGGAGGCGAGGATGTCAGCCTTGCCCTGATGTATTGCTCTGTTTCTACAGCTAATTTTTTCCCCCTCCAGCAACTTAGGATCCCCCAAGAAAAGGGTCATTTACAAATATTGCTTCTTGAGAAACGCGTTCCTTTTTATCCCCTGCTTCCAAAGGGAATAGAACTGCTCTCACACTTCAGCACAACATCTGGAGCTCGGTGCCATTTTTTTTTTTAATGAACTCTGAGTTAGGAGCAACCAAAATTTACACTTCATTCCCAGGCCCCTCCACCCTGGTTTTATGGTGTCCCAAAATGTGATGAAAGAAGAATGAAGGTTTCTTCTAGAGCTAGAAACCTATTAAATCATGGGAGCATTGAGTCCTGCTGTAAATGGTGCATAATGAGCAGCACTTGTATCTCTGTAAAGGCAGTAACACGGGGTATATTATTATGATTATTATTAAAATTATTGTAACTATTATAATTATTATTATTATAAAACTTGTATTCATTGAACATGAAACTCAGTCAACTGAACATTTAAAAATGAATAAAATAAGATAATAATAATGATCATGATGATGACTGAGTTTCATGTTTAATGAATAAAAGAGAATAATAATATATCTCTGTAAAGCGAGTGTTGCTGTCTTTACAGAGATACAATTGCCCATTATGTACCTATTATTATTATTATTATTATTATTATTATTATTATTATTATTTCTCTTTTATTCATTAAACATGAATCTCAATCAACTGAACTTTTTAAAATGTATCACAAATATCATTGACTGGTGCTAATGGTTGATACGGGTCTTGTGCCACCATCCTAGGTATCAACCAAGTATGTTCTTAAAATACACAATTATTGTTTGTATGTTTGTTTGTTTAAGATTTCCTCTCCAGTTCTATTAATAGTCTGGGATTGGTACAATCTTAGCAGTTCAAGCCCTAACCAAGGCCCTCAGAACTGTTAAGGTGACGTCTGAGCATGTAGGCAGTTCAAGGAAGTCTGATTTTTTTGCAAAGTCAAAATATTCGGGTCTGATAAGTTCAAAATGTCCATGTATCTAGGCAACCCCTCTGGGTATTGTTCCAAGGGTTCCTATTACTATTGGCTCAACCATTGCTTTCTTCTTCCACAGTCACTCAACTTCTATTATTGTTGTTGTTGTTAGCACAGTCTGCCAGATTTGTAGATTGCATTTAGCATTTTTATCCCCCAGTGACTTTTTCTCAAGGAAATGGGATAGGGAGATATTGTTGTGTGAATGGTATTAAACCATCATTGGAGCATGTAAACCAGTGTTTCCCAAACTTGGCAGCTTGGTGATATGTGGATTTCAACTCCCAGAACTCCTCTGGATGGAGAATTCTAGGAGTTGAAGTCCATGTATTTTAAAGTTGCCAAGTTTGGGAAAAACTGATGTTTTTCCAAGTATATATTCCTTTTGCTATTCTTATTATTAATATTTTAATATTTTCTCTAGCAGAGCATGCAGAAATCTGGGGAACCGTTAGTTGGGAAAAATAAGTTTCTCAACTCACTTTGCTAACCTCAGGATAGTGGTCCTTCAGGAATTTTTGAAGCACACCTGTGACAGCCATTCTTAGGCTTTTTACAGGCTTAAATTATTGCTGTGTTGATGAGCAAAGAAATGTTCATGAAATGAATTTCCTTGTGGATAGAAGGCAAGAGAGAGAATTGCATCGTTTTTTTAAAAAAAAAAATTTAATTCTTGTATTTCTGTGTCGTTTAGAGAACGAATGTTATGGGGCACCTGCTAAGCAGAGTAAGTATTTCCTAATTTATTGGCTTTATTCACTTTACAAGGAATCCTCTCTTCTGAATTCTATTCAGTTTGGGGAAACTGTTATTTAGAGGTTTTAAAAATAGTAAGGAAGAGCCATGAGGCTGGGACCAATGGATTCTCCCACCAAGTGATTTCTCTGCGGGCTTCATTTAAGGACAGGACAAAAGAGAAGGGGATTTTCCTCATTGATCCTGAGTCCAAAGTACATCAATAATCCCGATCCTATATATTTATCAAAGCCCAACGACTCAATGCCAATGTTGACTTTCTTAAGCCTGTTCTACTCACTGGGGAATGAACCAGAATCAATCTGGCATTCATAGAATTACATTCTGGACGGAAAGGTTATCTTACTCTTAATGGACCAGTCTGCAGAAGATTGACTCAGGAATATTTTAGTGCAGCTTCTCCCTTCCCCTCCACCCCAGTACTAAATATGTAAAGCAGTGAGGAAGGATGACATGACTTCTAAAGGTAGAACTTTAGACTGTTTTCTTAACCACAGTAGAATAAACGCAGTAGGAAATCATCTATCTCCAGTCTACAACACAGATCTTTTCAACAGTTCCAGGAAGGCTCCATACTCAATTGCACTATTCAGGTAACCCTGAGGATACAGATAAACCTCCAAGTGGCCTCAACGGCTCTCTAGAAAGGATACAAATGACCAGCTGTCTGCAAGGGGTGTAAATCCTTCCGTTCCCCACCATCCAGCCAGAGCTGAAGAAGCTTCTGGGATGAGAAGCGAAACATCTTCAAAGAAAAAAGGAAAAAAAAAACCCAGAAAGTCCAGTTGCCCCTTGAGGAAAAAAAAATCACCTTTGGGAAATGCAGCGGGAACATTTCAGATGTTGTGGTGATGGAAGAAAAATCAAGCAAGATGACGCCACAAGGAAAAGTGACAATTGCTCTTCTTTTTGCCATTTCTTTTCCACCAGCCATTGCTGCTTTGAAAAATATAAAGAGTTCTGTTTTGGAATTTTTCAAGCACTGGAAACTAAAGAATAAATTGGAAATGGAAACAGAAAATGGATATCTCAATGTTTTGTTTTGTTTTTTTCTCAAGACCAACTAATCTTTTTAAAGTTTTGTTCCTGCTTTCCCTCTTCTGCTATTATCCCAAAGCGAGGGGAATTCTGGAGAATTCATGGTTGTTCTTCAGTTAGCTAGACGTCCAATTTGTTCACTCATGTTGGAGGGGTTTGTGTATGTGTGTGTAGAAGTTAAACCACAATTTAAGCCATCTATGATTCTTCTCCCACTCAGTTTTGAAGAACCATCACTCCCATTTGATCCCAGAAGCTGCCAATTTTCCTGTTGCTGAGTTTAAAACTTGGCTGTTTGCAAAAGCCAAATTAACTGAATATTCAGTGGGGTCTGTTATTTTAATAGCCCCCCCTGCTATTGTCACATGCAAGAGAAAGTTAAGAAAAGCCACATTTTCAAAGTCTGTTCCGTGGATTGTTGTGAAGGTTTTGTTTTCATTTATATATTTTATGTGGGTGTATGTGTGTGTGTGTGTGTGTATTCACAAACACAACCACTGCATGTGTGTGTATATCAGTGGTGGTATGCTACCGATTCGCACTGGTTCACCCGAACCAGTAGTAAAAACAAGCCTCCAATTGGCTGAGAGGAGCAAAAACGTCTCCCATCCTATGATCAGCTGAGAGGATAAAAGACCGAAAAGCGCCTGGAAGGGTCCCTCCTAGCTTTCCGTTTATTCATACTCTCAGCTGATTGGCTTGTCAGGGGTATATGCATTAGGGGCGCGTTCACACTCACGTGATCACCCACCAAACCGGTAGCGATTAAGGTAAGATCCCACTACTGGTATATATATGTGTGTGTGTGTAAGAGAAGAAACAGACATCTTGCGATCTCCGGAACTAAAGTTATATTTATTGTATTTACTAAGCTTTTGTCAGTCTCTGCTGACATCATCAGAGTATTAAGCTATCATTACAGAGATCTTTGCTTTTATATATCATTAACCAATTTAGCCCTTGCACCTATAGTTAACTCTGTTGTCTTTGCTTCAGTCATGTTGGTCAATGGTTTAATTTCTGTTGTTTCCTTCCTTGCCAAACCCAGCTTGGATTGCTTATCTCTAAATATATAAAGAGAGAGAGAGAGAGAGAGATGTTGAGAAATATATTATCAGGTGTGCATTTTAGAGTACAATTGACCTAAATAGTTTTGCAATCAAAGGTTCTGTTGTTAAAAGAATGGTATAATATATCTGTGGGCCAGAATGAATACTCAACTTACCACAGCTCACTTAGGGACCATTCAAAGTTACAGTGGCACTGAAAAAAAGTGTTTCCCCCCGCTTATCCCCATGGTCAACAGGAGACTCAAGGAGGACTCCGGGTTGACTTAACAGCTGTGTTACTAACTTAACAAATGCAACAATCCGCTTCACAACAGTGGCAAGAAAAGTTGTAAAAACGGGGCAAAACTCACTTAACAAATGTTTCGCTTAGCAACGTAAATTTCGGGGCGTGACTCGAGGACTACCTGCATAACACAAGTTGTGCAGCCTACTTCTGGATCCCTCTTGCTCGTGTGCTTCTTGCCGTTGTGTTTGTACTGATGGTGTTACCTAGTTGGGTAATGAAACATCAGCAAGAAAGCAACCCAGCTCAGAGAGCACTCAAGGAGTTCCTATATTATGTGATTCTTTGGAGAGCAGCAAAAAAATGAAATGCTTTGCTTTTTTTTTGGCTTATGACCACAAAGTGAGCCTGGGAATTCTGTCGTTAAGCAAGGCACTTGTTAGGGGAGTTTTGCCCTGTTTTATGACCTTTTTTGACAACCGTTGTTAAGCCCATTCATGGTTGTTAAATGAATCTGACAATTGCTGGTCAGGAGGTTGCAAAAGGGGTCACACCACCCCAGGGGATGCTGCAACCATCATAAATACGAGTCAGCTGCCAACCGTCTGAATTTGGAACACTTGACCATGAGGACATTGTGCGTGAGTGTGAAAAAAGGACAGAAGTCACGTTTTGTTCAGTGCCATCATAACTTTGAACGGTGACTAAATGAATTGTTGTAAGTTGAGGACTACCTATATATTGTGTTCGTACAACATTCCATGCCTCCCCACCAATGAACCTCAAGTGCTGATGTGCAGTTTTTGTACTTTTTTGCAAGCATTTCATCTGTCTTTTTTTCCCCTGTCTCTCTTTCCTGACCACCTTTCAGCCAAATCAATGAATTTATCACTTCCTTTGACGCCCGAGTCGCCAAAGTAAGTATCAAGAATTGCAAATATTTCTAAGAGGGTGGGGGGGGTTTTACACCTAGTTTGGCTACAGCAACTCCATTTCAGCTTGTTTTTATAAATGTGGCCTGTCTTCTAGTGATCTGAAGGGTTCTCCATTTGAGAAGAAGACTATGGAAGAAACTTTGAATGCCGAACTCTGTGGAACTGCAGGTGAGACACCCCTTTTCTCTGCCTTCACCGGAGGCCTTTTATGGATGGGTTGATATTATGAAGACTGCAGCGATGCGTTATGGTGGTCTCATAAGAAATTAACTTGGATAGTGTTGAAGAATAACTTTTCCTCCTTGCACAATTCTCTCAGAGGAGATCTCCTTTAAAAGGGACTATTCCCTTGCTGAAATAGTAATAGAGTAGTGTAGTGTAGTAGAGTAGAGTAGAGTAGAGTAGAGTAGAGTAGAGTAGAGTAGAGTAGAGTAGAACAGGGAAGGGAAGGGAAGGGAAGGGAAGGGGGAAATAGAATGGAGTAGAGTAGAGTAGAGCAGAGCAGAACAGAATAGAATAGAAATTCTTTATTGGCCATGTGTGATTTGGACACACACAAGGAATTTGTCTTCGGTGCATAAGCTCTCAGTGTATATAAAAGCTATAAGTGATAAATCATGATCATAGTCATCATAAAAATACATTCATCGCAAATTGTAAGATACAACACTTAGTGATAGTCATAGGATCCTAAATTAGCAATCAACCTAAATTGTACTAGGAAACCAAATCAAACAATATAAATTGTAAAGCTACAAGCAACAAGGTTACAGTCATAAGTAGAAAAGGAGATAGGTAATGGGGAAGATGAAAACAATAATAGTAGCACAGTCTTACTAAATAGTTTGACTGTGTTTTGGGAGTAAGTTGTGTAACAGAGTGATGGCATGAGGGAAAAAAACTGTCCTTGTGTCTAGTTGTTCTGGTGTGCAGTGCCATATAGCATCATTTAGAGCGTATGAGTTGAAACAATTTATGTCCAGGATGTGAGGGGTCGGTAGATTGAGTGGTGCAATGACCTAGAAGTGGAGCTCTTGCCTCACAATCAGAAGGCTGTGAGTTCGATCCTAGGTAGAGGCAAATATTTCTCTCTCTGGGCATGTTGAGAATATATCTGCTGAACAGAACTCTGCATTGGTGACAGGAAGGGCATCCGGCCATTCAACACTCTGCTAGCTCTATTCAATTGCCCAGATTCCACCCTGCAAAGAATTATGGGGTCGTTATAAGATGATGATGATGATGATAATGATGATGACGACGATAGGTGTCTATAGATATAGTGTAAAGGGGGAGGAAAAAAGGAATAAGATTATTTTAACAGGAATGAATTTGTGGCTCCCTGATGGCTTTGCGACACCAAAATATATATTTTCCTGGAGTTTTCCTTAGCTTTGCTGTCCCTTTTTTGGGACTCTTTCACCTAAATCTCCACGTGCATGTCGGACAACATGGATACACAGGACCTGTTTGCATGATGAGCCATCACGGGTTACAGATGGCCAAGTTTGGACTTTGCTTAAGGTATGGGGCTCTTTGTTGCGTCAGAAACTGTATATTCTAGACATATGTACCTGTCATGCCCCTGTCGGAGGAGAAAGCCGAACAGCTGACTGAATTGGAGGAGGAAGCTGAACAGCTGGCAGGGAGCGGGAGTGTGGCTTTGCTTATTTGTGTTCCTGGCGTCTTCCCAACTGTGTTGAATTATTGCCGTGCCTTCACATCTGGAATTCCTTCTCCTGCCCTGCAGGACTAATGACCTCATTTTGCCTTGATTGGACTTATACTTACAGTTTTTGTTGACCATGTTTTGGACTTGATTCTCTGCAGCCAAAGGCTGTTCCTGGGAGAGTTTTTCTCCAGCCAGAAGGTAACCTGGACATTGGGGGCAAAGTTGGAGCTAATAAAGAGACTCCTACTGATTATCTGACTGGGTTGCCTTTGTGCTACGCCCCTTTGGGTCATCACAGTACCTACAGGTAGTCTTCAACTTAACAATGGTTCATTTAGTGAGTGTTCGAAGTTACAACGGCCCTGCAAAAAGTGACTTACGATCATTTTCCACACTTACGACTGTTTGCAGTATCCCTGTTGCCCCTTGATCAGCATTCAGATGCTTGGCCACCAACTCGTATTTATGGCAGTTGAAGCGTTCCCGGGGTTCCCTTTTTGTGACTTTCAAAGTCCAGATTCACTTAACAGCTGTGTCCCTAACTTAACACTTGCAGTGATTTGTGGAATGACTGTGGCAGGAAAGGTCATAATGGCGGGGGGGGGGGGGAGTCAACTTAATGATGGATGTCTCACTTAACAACAGAAATGTGGGGCTCCATTGTGGTTGTAAGTCAAGAATGGCCTACCTAGACAAAGTTGAAAAGTTTTCAGTGAATTGAAAAATAGATTTGAGGAGTTCTTAACCTGACAATAACTATGCAGTTAAGGCCTCAATCACATGTGTTGAAACCAGAGGCATCCATGGGAGACAGGAGTGACAGACATTCAAGATGGTGACCACAATCATGGAGGCAAATCCCAACCTCTTGTTATGTGTATTGCAGCTGAGATCTGAGTGACTTCACAGATACACTGTTAGTTTTTTTTTGAAGTAATGTGGAAATGTTTTATCGTCTTATTCATCATTGCTAACATCAATTCCTCTCTCCTTCCTTCCTTCCTTCCTTCCTTCCTTCCTTCCTTCCTTCCTTCC